TTATGAAAACGCACTGAGAAAGGTCTGGCTGAAATGAAATACAAGTAATGAGGAAACCAGGGAGGGACTATAAAGAAAATTAATGCTGACTCTTGACAGTAAAAGTCTAGGTAAACTAAACCACTGGAAACTCCAATGAGCAACCGATCGAGGTTTCAACCAACTGAAACTGTCTTAACTAGCTTAATTGATAAGAGATGATGGTCCACAAAACAGGGAGTGCCGTCATGCCAGCGCAAAAATCTGATTGACACCTGTGCACTAAGCTGTGTTCAGCTCCCTGAGAACCAAAAGAGAGGCTGGAGAACCTCCTGCTCACTACTACCACCACCATGGAGGGGAGAGGAAAAAAAAAAAAATCCTTCACGCTCAACACTTATCTACTAGCAAAATACAACTTCTCTGGACCCAACTTGGGGAGAACAAATGCAATAAGTTCAATTAATGAAAAAGGAAGGACCTTTGACTTATAAGCCACAAATCTGTACAGTAACACTTAAAACTGACAAAAAGTGCAAAGGCTAACTGATTTAAGCGACACGCAATCAATCTGAACCTCTCGTTTAGCTTGCACAGCTATGTTTAAATAAGCACCCTCTAAATTATTCGTAGTCATGTGACGTTGCCCATTGGTTTGCGAGGCTCCATCTGAAACGCATACTGTGCATTTTGACTGTCACCAAACCAGACATGACAAGCACAGTGGTGGATATCAGAAGGTAAAAAGATAACCTGCCGTGAATCCTATCACCTTACCTGCCTAGTAAATTAGTTGCCAAGCGGAATGTTTCTGGAAACTAAATTACTCAACAGTTAAACAACAGGATACAGATCAGACTGACTAATCGAAAAGTGACAACACACTGAAACATTGGTGACAACTAGCAAGGGCAGAAAAATCAACTGGACTAGTCACGCACATCTCTAACCCTGCAATGATTTAGGCCTGATTTAGATTCAGCGGGGAATCTTTGAAAAGCCTATGACATCACCTACATAACTGGCTGATGTTATTGATTGTGTTGGTGCATTATGTGTTAATTACCGTGTGGTCATTCGTGGTGTGTGAATGTTAGAAAGTGCTTACATGTAGAAAAAAAAGTGCTTGAATGACGGGTGAATGAAACATGTTATATGAGAAAAAAAAAAATTGAGCGCACAAGTAGAGCTGGGCCATATCATACCATTCACGGTAAAACTGGTATAATGTTAGGCAATGATAAGAAAAGGGAATATCGCGATAGAATATGGGTAAAGCGTGCATGCGCAGTGCCTTTGTTTTCATACATATATTGTGATAAATATTTTTGGCTATGCACAAGTAGAATGGAAAATCGCTGTATAAGAACCAGTCCATTTACCACAGTCTACAAAATAAAGAGCATGTTTTATCAAAAAGTTTTACTCTCAAATGAGCCATTTTAAAAAATCACTACAACCGCGGATCATTTTAAAAGCTTTCCATAATCTAACAAAGCAATGTGCTTTCATAATTCCTTGTCTTTGTTACAGAAAAACATTTGAACATTTACATTATATCCAAACTACTATATATTTTTTTCGTCTGTGGTTCAGCTTTTCAAAGTGAAGCCAAAACACAAGCAGGAGTCATTGGATAACTGAGTTTATTTGAATGAGTGTGAACACTGGGACTTAGAGGACTAGTATCTTGGCAGGTAAACATGATCCAAGTCCTGTTAATGATCAAACTGAGCCACGGTGAACTCTTTACACCACAGTTCTGACTGCCTGTGGCAGTTATCTCCATATCTTTGAATTTCATCTGTTATGTCACCACATTTATAGACAAGGGCATGGTGGAAAAAGAAGAAAAAATAAAATCACATGCACCATCTTGCTGCCCAAGACATGGAGTTGGTTATTTTTTGTTTAATAAAGAAAAGAGTTCAAAAGCAAAGGCCCATTTGCACATAAGTGCCTCCGAGGTCTTTCAGGGGAGCAGATAGTTTGTGTTCTGTTTCTATTTTTGCTACACGCTGCTGGGGATAAGTCTCCTGACCCTGGAAAGGAACACAAACGGGCTTTTCAGTGGCAGCAAAAAAAAAAAAGGAAAAAGGAAGGAAAAGAAAGAAAAGACAAAGAAAATAAGTTGTTGTGAAGATGCTGCGCAATCACGGCATCTGACTATGGTGCTGACAAAGATTATTTCTCTTAAAAAAGAGGAATAATGTGCAAAAATATTTCTTCCAAAAACAGACTGTAAAGCTGCGCTTTTATTGCCCCCCAGTCGATTGGTTACTTTTAACACTTCAACTGTGAAAAAGAGGGAAGAAGATGCTTGAATGCTATGGGAACTAAATTTTTTGGGTTGGTGCCTAATGCTAAACAGGGCTGTGGCAAAGAAAGGAGGGGGCCCAATGAAAAATTAGTGTGAAGAGCAGACAATCAGCCGGTCACTGTTCCCATTACCGCCTTGTTTGGATTCAAAACGGGCCATTTGGTTTCCAAGCAGGCTTCGCAAAATGAGAAAGTCAGCTGGGAAATGACATCTTAAGGGCACTGCATGAGAGCACTATCCGAGCCAAGCAACATCACTAACAAATGTGATTCGTTGATGCTTGAATGCGACTCAGGGGGTCCCTCAACAGTTTCCTGTATACCACTGGGGTTAGAAACTTGTGCAACAGAGAGAAAGG